ATAAATAAATGAAAACACCGCTATTTGGGTCACCCACCAACACATACACTCACATACAGTCACACAAGTCTATTTGCATACGTAAACATTTATCGCTTTGCGTTTGCGCTGCGTCGCTTCTCTGCTTTCGTGCGTTACACATACGCCATATTGGCTGCTGTTGACGAGCGATGCGAGAGTAAGCTACGCAGAGGTTTCGAAATTTCACGCCTTGTTATAATTAAATTGGAGTGAATGCCAGAATATTTGTTATATATAACAACTACAACAAGCCTAATGTTAAGAATTAATTAATGAATATTTTAATTAATTAATAATTCATCTTTTTGTCTTTCTAATTCCGGTTTTATTGTTGTTGGAGATAAACAATATTCTAAATTAATTAATTTAAATTAACATTAATGTTAATTAATAAATTTAAATTGATATTAAATACGAAAGTTATTCGAAAATCACTTTTAAGAAGTCATTAATTAATTAATTTTTATTAATCTTAATTAATTAATTAATTAACCTTAATTTTTCTTAATTAATTGATTCCAAATAACAAAACAGAAAACGTTCCATTGCACCGAGGCGATTTTTAAGTTAAATATTTTATATTTATCTGGGTGTTAGAGACGTCTTGGCAAACTTAGGCTATCCTTTTCAGTATATAAAAATAAGATGCACTAAAGTAATTTGAGCACTTCATAAAATTTAAATTTTTTAATTCATAACTTGTTAGCAAATTGAATGAAAAACAATTTTCCAAAATTTTAAATGGGAATTTCTCATAATTTTATTGTCATTAAAGCCATTAGCTGCCCTGTAGGCCCTTAGGATACCATTTTTCAGAATTAATTTTTTTTTTCAAACTTTTTATTCAAAAACTAGTTTACTTCACTGTTAAATTGCTAATAAGTATAGTAAGTAATTATTATATCGTTAACACAACACATTTTAAATTAGCAAACACTTTTTTTAATGCCCTTTCTGCAACTCTTTCCCAATAATATTACTAAATATTTACATTTTTCGCATTCAGTGCGTATTTTTTCACTTTCTTCGCCACTGTTACTTTTTTAATATGTTCACTGTGCTTTCTGCTGTCTTTACTCCAATTCAAATTACAAATTAATAACTGCTTTATTTGCTCTATTAGTCATTTGTGCGCTCGCTTTCTGCACGGGCAGAAATTCATTTTATTTATTTTTTTAATTTTTTTTTTTTGAAATTTGTTTGCCTTCTTCTACGTAATGCCCACGTTTTGTATGCTTTTGCATTTATAATGATTGTTTACGCGCWCTTGTTGTTGTTGCAGCGTTTTGTTGAAGTTTTCACTTTCCATCGTCAACGCCAACACACAAACCATACAAGCAACTACAACAAAGTTACAATCAGTGATGATGGCCAGTAAGAAGAAAGTGAAAAGTGAAGCAAAAAAATCACCGCCACAGAAAGATATCAGAAAAATCACACATAAAAGTTGTATATTTTTTAAATAAAAATAGAAATAATAAGAAATAGAAAAGTGCAGGTCATAATGGCCGCTCAGTAAACCAGCTTGTGAACGCAAATTAACAATTTGTTGTTTGAGTATATTCACACACGTGCCTGTATTATATATTTATATAGAAATGTGTTTGTCGTCAAAATATAACCGCTCTGGTTATTCATTCATCATAAATGTAACTGTAACTTTCGCTTTTTGTGCTGCTGCGTTGTTCTTGTTTATTGAAATTTCTTTGGGCAACGCTGAAGAAAAGTGCGCAACAACAACGCTGAAACTAGAAAAAAGTATTACGTTGAAAGAAATAGCAACATATATAGCAGAATAGAAAAGGTTTCAACAATGGAGAGCTTCATTGCAGAAATTTCTTCAATATTTTTTTCATATTTATTTTAGGCTTTTTAATTGCTTTATTTTTTTTTTTATAAAAAAATTGGTAATGCGTAATTAATTTCTTATAAGAATTTTTTAAAAACATTTGTTGTTACCAGCGGAATATTTTTCCAATACTGTGTTACTTAATTTTTATAGTAGTAAAAGTTGTGCGCTTCGTACCGATATCTGAATGAAATATATACGGTAGGGATGAGCCAGATAGTTATTGGCTCTTTATATTATATTTGTAGAAAATTATAAGTTAGTTAAATAATAAATAAAAATCAATAAATGATTCGATAAAAGTGCAAAATTTTAAATTTTATATATATGTTTTTTTTTTCTAATTTCTTCAATAGTTTCACTTAGGCAGAGTTTGAAATAGTAAAAACAAAATGATATAGCTTTCTAAGTGCTGAGTACTAAAATTAAATTATTGGGTAATCGAAAAATCATTTTCGCATCTCTAATCAAAGGATAGAGATGCTATATTGGCATTGGTTTATTAAGCTAACGATACGCTGTTTGTAACACCCAAAAGGAAACGTCGTAGAACTTATAAAATATTTATATGTGTTATAGATATAAATTATCAGAGTGATGTACTGAGTCGATTTCGTGAACTAGCCCTTCAGTTTTTGCGATGGCGATCTGAAATTTTGCGCACGTTCTTTTCTCCTAAAGGAGCCACTATAGCCTATAGCTGCAATACAAGTTATCCAATTCAACTCAAGCCCTTGTGCGGCAAACTTCTTTATTTGACAAGGTAAATTCATATAATTTTTCACAGATTATTATCTCAAATATCACTATAATCCTTCAAGAAATTGTTCAAATCGGACCACTTGTATGAAACACTTTTTTATTTGGCAAGCTATCATCATGAATTATTCGCTAAGGCAACCGCACAATCTCTGAAGAAATTGTTCAGATCGTATTGTTGAATCAAATTCCAATACTTGTATGGAACACTTTTCTATTTATGAATGGCATTATAGTCTTCAGTGTAAAATGAATTAACAATCTCTACTTTCATTATTCTTAAGTTTTATTCAAATAAGTCACAATATGTCACTCATCAAAATACTTCAATACAATAAATGACAGATCCCTATTTCAATGTGGTTTGAAAGATGATGTGTATTTTATCATGTTGTGCTTTCTCTTGAGATATTACAGAAAATTTAGAATATACATATTTATAAATATTTTACTTAAAAAATATAAATTTGTTTTTGAAATTATAGAAAGAATAATATATAGTGTCGTCGGCAGGATCGCGGGAGTATTTATGAATAAAGTAAAGAAAAGCCACAAACAACCAAAGATATAATTAAACTGGCACATACATGGATATATTAGCTTAAATTAAGGTTAATAAACATTTAATAATAAATATCGATGCCGTTTTTTTACGAAAAAGTGAGGTCTTTTGGCACTAGTCAGTGCGCTTCAACAAAACATTATAGCAGGGTTAGTTCACTGATACTCATTATTTACAAGATTTATTGTTAAATCTAACATTCCCGCAGCCATTTTTAGGATTAGCTGCTTTCTCCATACTACTCTCAAAATTATTGCTCACAGTTTAACTCACTTTTTTATTGTGACTTTTTCGAAATGGAAAAATCAAATGTAGGAATCTGCGACCATGCGCTCCCTATCGCTTGCTTCATATCAAGTAATCCCAGGAATTTCCAAAGTTCTTAGACCAATCTCAATCCCGAGTATTTGATTGAGGTTTCTTCCTTGCAGTCCGTATCAATTCTGATCGGATTGATTAATATAAACTTAAAGGGATATTATTCGATGATTGTTTCGTTTCTAATCGATTTCAGCTACAGCTGATCCTCCTTTAATTTACTATTTGGTCTTAAGAAAAGTGAACGCACGATTTGTTACAAAATCAAAAATTTTTTTCCAAAAAAAATGTGACGTTAACGTCTGTGAATCAATGCTTTCCGACTAGAAGGTTGTCATGAAACGTGCTATTACTGGTGATGTGTCTTGGATCTATGCTTACGACCCGCAAACAGACGATCAGTCAGCTGAATATTGTGACAAAGTTGAGCCGAAGTCGAAAAACACAAGTCAAAGCAGGTCATAAATCAAGGTTATGTTAACAGTTTACTCCGATTATCGAGTGGTAATGCACGCCGCATTCCTCCCAATCGACCAAACTATCAACAAAGAATACTACTTGAATGTTATGCGTCATTTGCGGAAGCTATTCGTAAAATGAGGACGAAATATTGAGTCAACAACTCTTGCCTTGTGCATCACGATATTGCTGTATTGATTATTCGTAATAACGTGCCACGACTGACTTCTGGCAGTTCAGCTCAACTCAAAGGAACGCTTCGGGGAGACCGTTATGAATCAATTGAAGGCATTAAACGTGAATTGATACGCGTAATGAAGGTTATTCCGGAAATTGACTTTAACAACTGTTTCGTGGATTGGGAAAAACGTTGGAACAATTGTATTGTGGCCAAGGACGTTACTTTAAGGGGCCGACATAGATTTTGAAGAATAAATGAATAAATCAAAAAGTCTACAAAGTCTAACTAATTTTGCTTATAGAAGTATTGAGTGAAATGTGAGGATTCTGCAAACATTTGTCTTTAATCAAAAAGTGTAAGAATTGGAAGCCTTTCTTCTAGCCCAACAACAACCGCGAAAAAAAGCAAAAACCTGCTGACAGCTTAAAACTTTCCTGCAGCCCAAATGCGTACTTTTCTGCCACTTTAATAATGCGCTGTGTGGCAGCAGCAATGCTCGCTCGACCTACCAACGAAACTCGTTTGTTTGTTGCACTAAGAAAAGCACACAGAAAACCAACAACACATGGGGCAGAGCATAAAGAAACCGGCGACAGTAAATGCAGCTATGCAAATGCCATTTACAAGTATAATGGTAAGATTTTGCAGTTTCCTGCGTGGCAAGTCGCTGCCACATTTTCTGCATGCAACAGCATATGCTGCCACTGCATATATGTGTGCGTGTATTTGCAAGTGTTGCACTATAGGCCAAAGTCAAGGCAAACTAAGAATGCTGATGGCCGCTAAACCAAACAACAACAACAATAACAAAAATAAGACTAAAAATAAATTTACAATCTTTGTGCACTTACCATGCAGGTCAAGAGGGAGATAAGGCGGCTCGCTCGTATGTTGCTGGCAGCCGGGACGCTGAGAAGCTGCGTGCCAACGCTGTACTTGGCCACACTTGTGCCACAAAGCTGTGCGGCCAACTAACTAACTGTGTTGCCACTTGCGCGCAGCACGCAGTGTCTTTGGTGCTTTTATTGTTGTTGTTGTTGCCCAACTAGTTGTCTGTGTTGCTATCTGCGGCGTGGCAATTGCAGCTGATGCTGAGTGTTGCCGCTGCGTACTCTTCTGTGGCTGCAATGCAGCTTTATGCATGCAACACGTTGCGCGTGCGTTTGCAACAGTGTTTGCGTGTGTGTATGTGTGTGTTGACTGGCAATTTAAATACACAATTTACATCGCATGCGCGCCAGTTTGCTTAACGTTTTCGCTGCCAACTGCTTTGTTGCTTATTTAGTTGTGTATTTGTTGCTTTGTTTGCGTTTTCAATTTCGCCTTTGGCTATTTCTTGAGCCGGCGTGTACGTGTTGCTGGGCCTGTGGTGTGCGACGCAAGTGTTGTGGCCTCAAATGCAGTTAGTTAGTCGTCGGTTGCCTGCCTTTGACTCTTCGTCGCTTGGCTTAAATGCTTTTGTGTATTTCTGCTGTTGTTTTTGTTGCTATATTTTCCTTTTGCTGCAATTATACAGCGAAACTTTTGTATGCTGCTGTGCCCAAAGTCATTTCTTTCTGCTTTTACTTGGCCGCGTGAGTTGCTTGTTGCAAGAACTGGACCACTAATCCGTTGTTGTTTTTGTGGCGGTGGCAGCAGCTGGGGGTGAAGTTTGGTGCGTGCGCAGGTGATAGCGCGATTTGTGGCATTTGTTGCTTGAGAAATCGTTCGAAAAATGCGGATGCGTTGCTCAGCTGGTTTTGCAGATAAATGGATTTATTGTGGTGTTACTTTGTTTTTTAACACTTTTTTGTAGTTTTCGCTGTTGTTGGTTTGGTTGTTAGCTTATTCTCACCATCTTCAGTTGTTATTACACTATCGGGAGACACTTTTTTTGAGGCACTAGTTTTTCGTTTTAGTTAATTTTTATTGTAATTGTTTCAGTTTCAGCGTTTGTTGCTGTTGAAATATAGTACTGTAGGTTTCATTAGAGAAAAGTGAGGTTAGGTTGAGTTATAGTATCAAGTTCAATCATGTCGCTCTCATATAGGCTTCTAATAAGCAGGGTGTGCTTTGATACGTTCGATAAGTAAGTAGGCTGTTCAAATATTTTACTAAATTTGTTCAACTTTAGATCTTTTCCAGAAATGGTAGAAAACGGTTTGAATGTTTTTTATTCAATTGTTTTAAAATTTCAGTTCAGATTTTCGGATACACGGAATATATATTATTCTTATATATAGAAATATGGAAAAGGATTTCCTTTTTATTTTTATTTAATATATTCTTTCTAGGACCACTATAATCTAAAATACCATGTCTGTCAATCCAAATAAAATAAATAACTGGAGGCCTTTGAAGCCAGTAATTATTATCTATTCTAAATTCTAAATTTGCTGTGGGGCGAAATGCCAATAGTAGCGAAGTAAAATTTGTTTCCTATCATTTAATGGGCGAGTTTTCCTAGCAAAGGAATTAGGCACCTCTTTTGATCTGGATCTGAATATATAAAATCCTGGCAAAATTTAAGTTTGATTTCTTTGACTTTAGTTAAGATTTTTAATGGCAAATGAAGTTTATTATTATCATTATTAAGTTTTAGAACAAAATTGGTTATGAAAATTGAAATTGATTGAGCTGCAAGAATATTTTTTTTTACATTTTTAAAATATAATTTTCTTCCGAAACAATTTTTTTTTTAT